GGCGAGTCCAGTGGGGTGGTCGGAAGCCGCGAGCCGGTGCAGCAGCGGCGCGGATGCGGTGTCGTTGGGCGGAGGGGGTGGTGGGAGGGAAAAGAGGCGTGGACGGCGCGCGGTGATGGGCGAGAGGGTCTGTCTTGAGTGTCGTAGGCCGCGACGACCCTTCTTCTCGCTCGTGGGAGGAAGTCGCCAACGCGTGTGTGGATCAGTCCCTGCTTGTTTGTGGGAAGGTGGCACGGGCGCTTCCGTAGCGCGAGCAAGCGTGACCTGGCGGCCGATTCTGGCGAGGCACGGAGAAACTGGCAGCGCCCGTCTCACTTGCCGGTATATCTTGTCAGGCAAAGACTGCAGAGACACTCCTCTCGCACTGTGCGTGGAGAAACGACAGGTGCGCAGGGGCGGGGTGGTGGAGAATGTGTGAGCTGTCCTGCTGCTACCACCACTGCTGCCCAGCGCCGGTGGATAGATACATGTATGCTCTGCGGGCCTCCTCCTTTCACAGGACGGCCGTTTGTGTGTTTATTTACCTTTGTAAACAGCACCCAAACGCTGCGCTCTGCGGCAGCGCATCATAGTGGAAGCCCGACAATGGCATCCCCGGCTCGCAGCGCAATGGCAGGGCGCTGGTTCGCTGTCCGTCCCAAGTCCTGGCTGATCGCAGTAACGCGAGGGCCGTCTTACTGCCAACTTCTGGATGAACCCTTCTTCTCGCGCATCCACCATGCAGCCCGTAGACGATGAACCAAAAGTAGCAGCGGCCACTCGCAATCTCGCCCATCCGCAGGTCAGCCTGGCCACATCCGGAGCGCGAGTGGCCCAATGCGTGCGCCTCTGCGTCCGACATCCGCCTCCAGCGGGCTCATCGTCGGCCGCTCGTCTGCTGCTGAGTGCTGCTGGCAGCATGCTGTCAAAGTGTGACACGAGACATCGATGGAGAGTATCAATCGATATCGGCATGTGCTCGCGTGAGATCAAGCCCTCGATCGTCAAACGCCCCTCGATCGCGCTTGGCTGTCAGATCTGAGTTCGACCCTGACGAAAGCCACAGGGAGACAATGCCTTCATCACACTTCGTCATTTCTCGACCTTTCGTTTTTGCACCCACCACTACGTCAGCTGCCGTGCGCAAAACTTGGCCCTTATTTCTATATATCGCGACTGCACCGGATTCGATCATGGATATACCCAGGAAGACACTGCCGGACGCCACGGAACTTTGCCAGCGTCATCGCACACCACCCATCGAATACGGCTGACACACGTGGAGACACTTTCGTGAGATTCTCGAAGCAATACACCGATCTATCTCATGCTATTCGAAACAATGGGCGCCACTACAGCGACCACTTCAGAGTCCCGACCCATGCTCTTGTCCCCAGACAACCGGAAAATTAGCTATCGCAGCAAAAACGGCAACGTGATTACGCTCGAGCTCAAGAACTCCAAGGCTGTGGAAAGCCTACAGCAAGTCGCGAAACGGGGTATAGCTCAGGAAAATAGCGAACAAGACCAAAAGAAGCAGGAGAGCGAGGGGCTCTGGGCTGGACTTTTCGACACGTTATCCTTTTGGGTGATGGAGGGCGTGGAGATTGCTGCCTTTGGACCATACGATGAGCCAGCCCCAAAGTGAGCATGTCTCTCACAGGACTCATGAGACGGAATTGCGGGGCTCATGCTCTTCCTGTTGTGCATTCCTTCTGGGCAGAGAGGATCTGATTCCGGGCCAAGAACGTCGCGAAGGCTTTTCGGATGCCCTGGCCTTCTCCTTCTCAATCTCACCGCGCTGCTCGCAGCGCTCAGCCAAGCCGGCAAGGAGCGGCGCCGTGCTCAACTTCTCCAACACCTGACCACTCTTGACGACCACACGCCGCCTAAATCCTTCTGCCTTGATCTGGCCGCGAAACCTCAGGTGGACGACTGTCGCAGCTTCTTCAGAATCTGCTTCGGGATCGTGAAGCTCGCGTAGCAAAAGGGCCCAGGTGAAGTCACACCCATAACGCCGCGACCGGAAGACAATTGTATGTGGCTCTTCGACCCGCTCCACGACAAGATAGTCATTGTTGCCGAGCCCGTAATCGGGAAGCCGCTCACCAGGGATGAGCCTCTGCCACTTGGACTCAATTGTGCGCGAAGGTCGCCAAGACAATGGAAGCACTTTCTCCGCAGGTTGCGGCAGGTACCAACCACCTCGGTTCTTGCCGATTTGCAACAGCCACGGAAAGATGACTTCGGCGGGTGCGCGAATAGTGCGCTTCTGGTCGTACACCATGGCCGCATCCGGAATGATATTGTCACCTGGAAAGAGGTCTTCCTTCCTCATTGGCTTTTCCATCTCAGACTTGTCGTTCTCGCCAGAGAGATCGGTGCTGCTCCTGTTCAACGTTTGATTATTGATCGGGCCGCCAGTCTCCTTTGCCAAGTGTGCATCATTGTCACCAGCGCGTGGAGGGCCATTACTGGCATCGTGGAACGTCTCATGCATTTGCGACTCCTTCGCTGCTTCTCTCTGAGCAGGCGTCTGCGCCTTGGCGTGCTTCTCGTCGCTCGTCTTCAACGAGCTCTTTCGAGGGCGCTTCTCATTCTTGGTGGGTTGAGCATCATGTGAGTCTTTAATGGCTTCTTTTGTAATGGGCTGCTCCAAATCTTTCTTGACGTCCTCTTCAGCCATGGTTGCCAGTGGTGAGGCGTAGTATCTCATTAGCTGATTATGGAATGAGGAGATGAATGGTCCACGAGCAGCAGCACAGCCCTTTTTGATAAGTCGGGCTCCAAGGTTCTGCGCCTGCCTCGAATACCAAACAAGCGTTTCACAATAAAATGCCAGGTTCGCCTGCTTTACCAACCATTGCAATCGGCATAAGCACCATCCTTCACAATCACGGTACTAATTACGAAATTGTCCATGCGCAGCATGTACCTCGCTGCAATTGCGTCGTCCTCCACTTGCTCGTAGTTGCCTGCTGCCTGCGGCTTCGTTCGCCAAGAGTACAAGTTCTTGCACTACACCTGGTCATCCGCGTCATCAGCATACTTTCTTCCACTGGGCATCGAAAGTTTCAAAAGCACGGCACAACCAAGCTGTGCTCTCGAGCATCCCAGTCGACAACACGAACATCGAGATGTTCGCGTGGTCTATACATGTCGAGTTTCAGTGATCGGCAACGATCAGAAGAATAGATGTAGCAGACAGCATCGAAGCCGGCAAAACCCGGGAATACACATGTCACTGGTCTTAGGTCTCGAACTATGCACACTGAAACTGTTGAGCCTAGATCGATGCGACGATATGGCGTCGGGTGACTTGCAACGTCACCAAGAACGGCGTGGACTCGGCTCGTGTTGCAGGCTACAGCCGTACAACGGCTGTCTAACAGAATCTCCACGTGAGACTTTACACCTTTTCTGCGACAAGTCACACATCATGCGACCACAATAAACCGCAAACTCTTTCACCGAAGCGCGGCAAGAACCAACGCCAAGAAAGCAAAATGCTCACCGCTTGGGAGTTGACAGGAAGTTCTCGAGTTACCGATGTTTCTGCGACTACGGCTGCCTACTGAGCCTTCGATCCCGCCGTTTTACCCTCCACAGCTCGAACATGAAGAGAGAGGCCACCAGATACATGGTGCCGGCAAAGACTTGAGGATGCAGATATGCCCATCGACCCATCCTCGGTCTTCGCAAGTAAAGCGCAATAACTTCAGCAAACGTCGTCGGCAAGACTGTAGTCAGCCAATGCAGTGAGAGGAACGAAGGTACCTCAGCAAGACCAGCAACCTCTGCGCAAAGCGGCCCAATCGTCATCCAGAAGGTTCCAATGAAAGCACCAGAGACAAATGCGAAAAACAGCAAGACTCCGTAGCTGTTCCCTGGAATCCAGACCGCAAATATCATCACCGCATTGAAGAGCGTAGCACACGCCGCAACTTCAATCCTCCCAAGTCGATCACTAACAAACCCAATAGCAGGCCTCCCAATTCCCGTTCCAAGATTCAAAATCGCAGTCAGAGTACTCGCTTGCGCCTGCGTAAGCCCCACAACCTCCACAGCATAACTACTCAAACTATACAACAGAGCCATATACCCAAAAAGATTCAAAAAATTCCAGCCAAGCAACAACAAACACTCATATCTCTTCAACAAATGCGTCGCAAACCCCAACTGCGGCGGCTTCACCACATGATTCCGATCCCTCACCAACAACGTCGCACTCACATTCCCCACCAAACACAAAATCCCCGTAATCCTCAACGCCCACCCAAGACTTATCCGTTCAATCATCGCATTTGTCCCCAAACTAAACGTCAAACCCCCAAACCCGGACCCAGCACTCGTGATCCCCGCAGCTAAACTCCTCCTCTTTTCAAACCACTGCGGTAGAACTTGAATACTAGGTATAAAGATCGCACCTAAGCCCAACCCGACTAGAACTCCCTGACTTAAATACAACTGCCAAATCTCACTCGCAAAACTCGCAGCGATGAATCCTCCGGCAAAAACTACGCAACCTGTTAACATGACATAACTTCTCCCTAATTCGCGGGTGAGGATTGTGCATAAGGGGGAAATTATCATTGCGACGCCGAATTCTAGACCGCCGATTAGAGCGTAGTCGAGAGGGCGGGCGGAGGGGAAGTAGGTTGGGGTGGAGAGGTAGTGGGAAATGTAGACGCCGTAGGAGGCTGCTACGCCCCAGGTGAAGAAGTTTGTGGTGGAGAGGGCTAGGCAGACGATCCAGGCGTAGCCGCCGTCGGGAGGGGGTTCGATGGCGTTGAGGTCTGAGGTGGATGTGGGTGTTATGAGGGCAGAGCAGGTTTCTGTTGTGGGATCGTTCTGTCTGGCTTCATGATGTCGTTCATCGTCACTTGTTGTTTGGTCGGTTTGTTCGGGAGTGGTGGAATCTTGTTGTTGATGTGTTTCAGAGAACGAGGAGGATCGCTCTTCATGTGGCATGATTGCTTCAACTCTTGCGATGTGGCGAATAGTTGGGTATATGTCCTTTTTGTTGAGCTTCTTCGTTCCCGAGGACGTATACAATAAAGTCGTAGCAGTCCTCTCAGCAGTGAAGACTCTCTTCACGCCATCAAACGACAATGTACTTCAGAATCACCAAGCTATCCCATCCAGAGAGAGGTCTACTAGCACACGCCTTACAGATGTCACTCCACCTCATCAAGCAGATCAGATGCAGTGAAACTAAGGTACCCCACATGCTGCAGCAGCAATCCTCCAACCCCAATCATTCAGATCTCCGACTAGGACGTAAGTGATCGTCACAAAAATACAGGCAAAGCACATGATGTACTGTACTCCGGAAATCGGCACGTCCCTAACCGCGGCAAAGGGAGTCTGCTGCGAAGCTAACGATGTATTGGGCAATTTTCTACGAGTATGCACTCAGTCGTCCGAAGTCGCATGCAGCTACACTCTTATGGACAACAGCGCACATAAGTTGCTGACAGGACATGGCTTTCCCTGCAAGTGAACAGAATACTCAGCTCATAGTGGCGGAGATTCGGCATGGGATGTAGGGCGTTGTTCGCAGAGAGAGGGGATGTAGAAGGGACAGCACATGAACACCGAGCAACGCCGACGGAAGGAGAGCAATATCGAGTTTTTATTCTTCTCATATCCGTCCTTTGGGATCCCAGCCCACGATGGACCATCTTGTGGCTATGAGTCCGATGCAGCCTACGAAGAAGCTCAGACCTCCCCAGATCTGCGCATTGAGATAATCGCCTCCGTTTTGTTGAATTAACGCGCCTGCTAAAGGCGGGCCTGTCAAAGAGGCGAAGCTCACGACCTGTAGGACTCGTTAGCGAAAGCCCATGTCTCTAACCACAACTTTGTAGTGCATATGTGGATGGCCGAAGCGACTACCACACAATTCACTCGGCGATCAGAAGGGCGCAACGAGGGAGCCATACCGTAAATGCCATTCCCATGCGTACACCTGCTTTCTTCAAATCCGGAACCTTGTTGAGGCTGCCGATGACTGCTGGCCAGAGGGCTTGAATTACGGCACTTCCTGATCCATAAATCGCCGCAAACACGTAGAGCGCCGGAAGCGAATGTATTCCGATCCATGCGAACATCATGATCCCGCAGAGAAGGCAGAATGGTATGAGAGTATTGAGAGATCCGATCTTGTCAGCGAAATAGTTGGGTACGAGCCGGAAAACGAACCCGACGCAGACGACGGTGAGAAGCAGGTTGATCGATTGTTGGTAGCTGACGCCGAGGACATTGCGACCATATGAGCCGATGTAAAAGAAGACGAAGTAGAGGCCTGGCAGAAGTGTTAGCGATTTTGAATCAACTCTTGGAGGTGTTCAAGGATCGAAGCTCACCCCAGAAGTTGAAGAACATGCTAATGCAATAAAGCGCAAACGGCAATTCCTTGAACGACGCCCAGTCAACCAGCGGTCCAGACTTCCTCGGGGGCAGACGCGTGCGGAGGAACGTAATCGTAACAATATTCGTCGCCAGCATGATGAAACCAATCACACGCACAGTCCAAGGATATCCAATCTTGGGCAGAAGCTGCTGCACAATGACCGGAAAGACAACGCCTCCTGTACAAGATCCAATAGCTGTGATGCCAACTGCCAAAGCTCGTCTCTTCGCAAAGTAGGTCGTGATGAGAGACATGGCAGGACAGAATTGTAGACCATTTGCGATGCCGATGCAAAGCGCTTGACTTAGGAATAGTTGCCAGAAGTTCTTCGCTTCTGCTTGGCAAAAGATGCCGACGATGAGGAAAACTGCTCCGGTGATATAGACTGGTCGGAAGAGGCCTGCGTCTGTCGCTCGGCCGGTGAATGTGCCTATCCCGAAGAGGAGGAAGATTTGTATACTGCCAATCCATGAGATAGCAGAAGGGTCGACTCCAAGCGTGTTCTCGTAATATGTTTGAAAGACTCCGAATGATGTGATGTAGCCAAATGTGGAGAAGATGGTGAAGTGCACGCATGCGACTTGGATCCAGGCTTGAAGACCTCCATCCGGCGGCGGTCCTGGATCTTGCCACGATGAAGCAGCTGATCGTCTCGATATCGTTCGTGAAAGAGTTCCTGCGAGTCCCGTCGGCTTCTCTCGTGGGCTCACGTCGTGATGTGGCGATTCTTCTGCTTCTTCAATCGCGCGTTCAATTTCATCGTCTTCCGGGTTCGGCCAGGATCGCATATTCGCATCATCGGAAATCGCATGCCCATCTCGGTGATCCTGCTTCTCCATATCCATATTGCTCGTGTCTGAAGCAGCTTTCGCCATCGTGCCTTTTGTGCAAGCGGCAAAGGAAAGTAAGTATGACGCCAGACAAGATCTAGGAATGCCTCAACAGCAAAACACACAAACTTGTGGCACAGATCATTCAGGTGTATGATTGAGTAAGAAGAATCGGATCGGCAACAAACCGCTTCACCCGCAACGCCCTATGCACATCCTTGCCTCGTAAAAACAAGCAAAATGGGGGTCGTCTACTGCTGCCATGCAATTTTTGCGGTGTAAAGGAACGCGAGGTGCGTTTGCTCCCTCGCTAGTGTGGATCCAGTAGAGGCGTTCAGATTGGCGGAAAAGGTCTTAGCCTGTCGGCACGCCATTCGCTCATGGCTTCGCCGTAGGGCCTGCGGTGTCGAAATCGATGCATGTGGTAAGAATGTCCGTTGACTTTGCGATGTCGGATATGCTGTTGATCCTGACTCCTGGGGAGCAAGAGCTGCTTTCTGAGAAGGTACTCTGGTCATCACGTCTGCTTACAAAAGCACAAAGTATCGGACCGGGCACCAGGCGATTGGCAGACCTTGTGACAGTCATTGAGTGTCTTTTGCGCATGTCGTCGAGATATGCTTTGACGCGATTCCTGTGCGTCGTTGAGCATCCAGACGATGTCGCGCCAATCTGCGTCGCACAACATCTGGCTGGACGACTCGCGGTGTGCATCGCGCGTTGGCTTCATCATAAACCGTAAGAGGAGATGGCGGGCGCGATGCGAAGCAGAAGGTGATGTTGAGTGGACGAGCGAGTGAAGGCAAGAAGTGTTGCATCCCGGACACGGACCAGGAAGTCATGTCTTGCAAACCCTGCACGACAAAACCTGGTATGGACGTAAGGTATTCCGCAACGACCGAGACGCGAGACATGTTCGCAGGGCGCAAATGGATTACCAATATGGAGCGGGTCAGAATGCCTCCCAATAATGGCTCGGTCTATCTTCGCCTCAGATTTGACAGAGCACTACACAATGAATACAGAAGAACAGCCTCATTCCTCTCGGGCTCTCCCTCGAACACCACATCTTCTATCTGAAATGAATCCAGCCGCCCTGCATCGATTGTCCACCTGAAGCTTGTTTTCAATCAGTGTAGACAGTCACCGTCTGTTGAGCGGACCGCACTGGAGTGACAGTAACCACGGCATTTCGAACTGTAGTTGCAGTATTGACCCTAGTAGCCAAAACATTTTGAGTACCGCGAGGGAGCGCCTGGATAATCGTCGTAGGCACTACAGTGACGATCGCTTGAGTTGAGAGAGTAGTGACGGTAATAGTAACAACCTGTAGAGTAGCGAAGGTCGTGGGTACCACCTGCAGTGAAGTGATTCGTCGGGTAGAATCTGGCAAAGTCGCAATATTCGTAGCGGTCACTGTCACACTCGATGTTATAGTCGTTAGTCGCGAAATTGTGGATAGTATCGTAGTCGGAACTGGCTGCAGGATTGTCGTCGTAACCAAAATGACCTGCGTGGCGATTTGGGTGGCTGCTGGCGGGTAGACAGTCGTATCTACTGGAGGGAAGAAGGGTTCACCATTACTGCTCGCATTGTAGGCCTGCAGTTGAATTCCCGCAGCACGCCTTCGCGTAATAGTAGGGGTGAACGGAGTCGGCTGATACCAGAAAGCCGGGTTGCTTGATTTGCTGGGGCATTATCAGCTAACGTTTCGAGCTCGTTGAGGGTTTAGGTGAGAACTCACAGCACGCACACTCCTGGTCCTACAGCATTATTCCCGCCAGTGAAAGTGAAAGTAGTACAACGGGAATCGCTAGTACACTGGGCGAAACAGTCGTTGAAGCTGGATGTTGCATTATTGGTTGCGTATGAAGTTCCATAGGTGTCATAGCCGCAGCGCATAACGTAGGGCAAACCAGTGTTCGCATCGTTGACGACAGTCCGGTCTTGAGGGAACGGACAAGTATACGAGGACGCTTGGGGAGCGTAGCTAGCCAGTTTGATTGCGGAAGTCAACCTCGGGTTGTTGCGTGCGGCGAATACCGGTGGTGATCCATCGACGGCCACGCCTTTGTAATAGCATGTCCCAGCATCTCTGAATGTCCAACCAGTACACGCCGTATTGTTAGAACCTGCGTGGTCAAATTAGCGGCGAAGGACGATCGGTATTATGTACGTACACCAGGCCCAACAGTCATTTGCACTGCCAACCCCGTCCAATTGGTAGAAAGCTTCGATGGGCAATGCCTCATCGCCACATCTCGTGACATACAGAACATCGCTGGTAGTATCTTTATACACTGTACCATTGCCGGAAGGCTAGAGAGTTGGTCAGCAGGATTCACGAGCCGGGTCAAGCTCACTTACGCAAGTGTAGTTGTTGTTCGACTGCGCAAATGCGTTGATTGCAAGGAGTGCGAAGGCTTGGGAGAAGAGAGCATGTCTGCTGCGCATTTTGCCGATCGAATAGAACTTGCTCGATGCTGAATGGTGCCATTTGGGGGAGCATGGCCTGGTGGGTGCTACTCATACATAAGCGCCAAGCGCGGCTCGTGAGAATGTGTTCTGTCACATCGGTACACCCGACTGAACAGCGCGCTAAGAGAGGCCCAGACGATGTGGAATGTTCAGATGTATTACCGGTTCACAATACTTTCGAGCGATCTGCCGTGTCCCAAGTCTGAATTCGGGGCCGTGATGATGAATGCGGCTCGATTCACCAGCAGACTGAAATATCACCCGCCATTCATTCGAAGCCGATACAGCGAAGAGCCTATGGTACGCATTCCAGCGATCCGTCTCTGGAGAATCTGTCAGTATCCTCGGTCTAGCCACTATTCTTCTCCGCCTTGGCCTGTCGTATCCTCGCCTCTTTCTCCTTCTTCTCCCGTCTCCACTTCATGCCATACTTCACAGCCGCGAGCGGCCCCAGTATCGAAAGCAGGAATAGCACAGCGAGGATCGTGTACGCCCAGCCGCGACCAATCGCATTGCCCATCGGGGTGATTGCAGCACTTGCCGCGGCGCCCAGCAGACATCGGAAAACATTGTTGGCTGCTGTGGCTGTAGCCGGTTGTCCGGGATAGATGTCGAGCATGAGGACGTTCAGAACTTGGAAGCCAGCTGTGATGCAGTAACCGAACAGCGCGAGCAAGACAACTGGCCCTGCCAGCGAAACTTTGTGATCGAGCATCCAGCCGTAGCCAAGCGTGACGAGGGCGCCGCAGATGAGAATGGGAAGCGCGATCTGCATTCGCGCGAGCTCGATTGGGAAGTTCGAGAGATCTGTTTCTCTGTTCTTCGCGATGGGAAAGTTGAGCCGCTTTGCATGTCGTCGGTAGTTCCAGTCAACGAGGAACCCGGTGGAGAAGGCGGCGACGATGCTGCCTCCGCCGATCGATATCTGAATCGGCAATCGTGAGTGATTTGGCGCTGAGGTTTCCATAAAGAGTCTGACTTACGAAAATGAGTGAGATGTGAAGCTCGTCAAAGCCATACACTTTGGAGAAGACCTCAGATACGCCTGTCGACAAGGCATAGTAAAGAGACATTGCCAGTCCTGTGGCAAGTAGGATGAGTGCAGTTTCCAGGTCAGTCATGGCCACAAGTGTCGATATCGGATTGGGAATTGTGAGCTTGTAGTTTGTGCGTAGCTTTTCGAGCTTCTCTTGATCCACTTCAATTCCCCTCTGGGCACGATGTCTGTGTCGAATGCTGTCTGTCAGGTTCCAGCTTGACCAAGGCGGTGGCACGGACGCGTCGCCGACAATGTTCCGGCAAGTCTCCGGGAGGAGCAGAAAGAGAGGGACAAAAGTAGCGCCGGAGAGTATCAGTAGGAACCAGAAAATCCAATGCCAGTCGAGGTATTGGACAAGCAGTCCACCTATGAGTGGTGACACTGTAGGGCCCAGTATACTTGCAAGCGATGCCCAAGCAATGTACTGTCCACGCTCGGAGGAGGTAATGCAATCGCCCACGAGGCCGTTCGCTAGTGCGATAGTGCCACTACTGCCTGCAGATTGAAGCATTCGCAGTACCAACAGCGCGACATAGCTGTCCTGGAGGGCAAGCGCGAGGTTGGCGACGATGTACACTGTAAAGCAGATGATATATGCTGGCCTTCTCCCAGCTCTGTCCGAAAACCCGGCGATCATCATTGGTGCCAGGCCTTGTATGATCTGCTTTCGAGGTCAGTCAATGACAGGAAAGTCGACAGTAAACAGCGACGGACCAGATACGTGGTTACAGTGATGTTGATCTGCGAGTCCGAAACATTCAAGTCGTTCGCTATCAGTGACAGAGCTGGGAAATAGATGGATCCAGTCATTGGGCTATCGAATGTGAGCAATTGTACGGCTGCTTATACACATGTCAGCATACCTGAACCAGCCAGCAAATGAGCCAGCGAGAACGATCGCTCGTTTCTGGCCAACTGTGAAGGTCGAGTAGTCTTCTTTGGCTATCGGGTCCACGCTCTCTTCGCGTGGCTGGTCGATGGGTACATCTCCCTGTGCCAGCTCCTTGCCAGAGTGATGGCTTTCCGGTACTGCATGAGTGGACGTGTGTTGGATCTGCGACTCGGCATCTGCAGTATCGACTTCCGCTGTATCGGTGGCCTGACCTGAGTGTTCATCTCCGTGCGTGCTGCTCACTGCTTTGGTCATGCTTCGTGCGATATGCCTGAAGCCATGAATCGAGGCTTCTGGTGTACGAGAAAACCTGGCTGACACTGATCGTGGGCCAGTCTCGAAGCTGTATTTGTCGACAATTAGAAGTCAGTATCCAGCAAGCAGCCTGCTTGACAATATAGCTATACACAGCGGCCAAATCCGTAGCTGTGCTACCATGCCCAATGTCGCCGGAGATATGTCTTCACCGCGCTCGCGCCTATATCGTTTGTGTTCCTGACCTACCACTGTTCCTATCAGCCCTTGCGTGCAGAACAGTCAGGCGGGCTCGCAGATGCGCGGCAAAGGCGCAAGATCGGCACGCTCAGCGCTCGCTGCAAAGGACTTAGACATTTAAGTCCACTCAGCCGCCGGCCTCGGCTTGCGTCTTCGGCGAGCTTCATGCTGTTGACGTGTTGTTCGTCGTGGTATGGGCAGGCGCAGCTAATGGTGGAACATCGTAGGTCATCTCGAGCAGTGTGATTCACGTGTTGTAGCATTGCATTGCCGCCTCTTCGCTGGCGACGCGTCGCGTTCTACGGTCCATGCTCTTGCTCTTTCGCCGATTCTGCGACGAGGACAACCGCTTCGTGGCTGTCGCGCTCTCGGGTGTTCGACTGAGGACATGGCGTCTGAATGCTTTCGTTGAGGCACGATGGAGCAACTCTGGCTCTCGTCGAGTTGGTGCTGTGGTTGAGCAATGTTTCAGTCGTTGGGTGAAGGTCAAGGGTTACAACTCTTTGGGTCAATGCTTAGGGTTACATAGACAAAAAGTCATGGGATTGTGCGAGGCGACGATGATGGTGTCCAGCTTGATCTTCCAGCGCTGAAACTGGTATATGTTCCTTTCATGGTCATTTTGGTATTGTGTGAGAATATTTGAGTTCGTTTGTCTTGTTGTGGACGAGATATTTGAGGATGTCGGAATTAGTTGATTATACAAATATCATCCTTTCACGATCAACAAGCAGTCACGGTACATGATCTACCCAGTCTCATGAGACAATCCACAACATACACCGAGACTGACAGCAACATCAGTGGTAGAGACGAAGTGGATCGTGCAGTTCGATGAACATCGTAACCACGTGTTCATTATACTGTCGCTACGATCTACGAGCTCCCAATGCCCAGCTTCCGAGCAGCCTCTACAAAACCCTCCTCATCCAGCTTCACCCAGACATCCGGGATGCCCTCGTCTAGCAACTCAGGATGCCTCTCTTCCTGCGAGCGTTCCACGTAGAGCGTTCGGAATCCATTCTGCTTGGCGTACTTCAGATCGTCGAGATGAGCCGCGACCATCATGCACTCAGCCGGCTGCAGGCCCATCTTCTCCGCAGCACCGCTGGTCATGTCAGCACTCATTCCCGATCAAAGATTGTATCAACGAAGACTCACAGATAGACCTTCGGACTAGGCTTGTACGACTGGAACATCTCAGCAGAGTAAATGTGCGTGAAAGGCATGCTGCCATGCTTGACCATATCCTCCAGAAGAGAGACATTTCCGTTGCTCAACGTAATCGTCGAGAACTTCTTGTTGAGATCGTGAAGACCTTGCACAGTATCAGGCCACGGAGCCAATCTGTGCCAAATCAGACTGAGGTTGACGAGGTCTTGCTCATCGAAGAGAGATCCATCATGCACAAGCTCAGCAGGAACATCGCCTTCCCTTGGGAGGATCAACTCGTGCGCGATCAAGATCTCTCGCAGTGAGTCCAGATGATGTTGGTCAACGGTTTTGTAAGGTATCGTCGGGTCACGGGCTATCGATCGTGTGAACTTAAGGTAGGAGTTTCTCCATTCTTGAGCAATGCTGCCCCAGTCCTGCTTGGTCTGGTGTAGCCGACGTCAATGTCAAGTTGCCGAAGACTGCTGATTGGAGAACGAACCAGTCCATCTGTCTTCAGCCGGATTCGCGTCGCAATCGAAGATGTAGGTCTGTTCAAAGCCTGACTGCAGGCGCTCTCCAGAGCATCTGTCACGGTACTCCGCCAGTCGACGCAGGTACCGAAGACGTCGAAGAAAAGTGCCTTGGGCTGAGGATCGAAAGACATATTGAGATAGATCAAATTGGAAGAAGGCCCGGATGGTAGACGACCAAGCGGACTGCTAGTAAATGTATACTACAGCATGTTGCGTCAGACGTGCGCCTTTTACCTACCCCGTTCGTCCAGCTCGCCAGAGCCTCTCAAACGAGTGCGACCTCGGCGGAGCTGCACACTTCGCAAGCACTGCCTTGGCTGCCTGCGCAAGACACAAGAGATGTTGTCGTGTTCAGTTTACACCAAGCTGCCGATGTATAAGATGTCATAGCTATGCAGTCGTCGGTCGTCGCGTTCTCGGTGGACTCTGGGCGAGGTGGTTCTGGAATCTGGAGCGCAGCCCGCTGGAGAAGGGTCGAGACTCAGCCTTTCCGCGCAACTTCCGCCGACGTTGCAGCGGAGCGATGTGTTCGCGCACGCAATGATACTCAGCAACAATGAAGCGCATCGTGATGGCTGCACGGCATGTATACAGCACAACATCATTATCATCGTCTCTACGGTCCAGCACACGTGAGAGTGGGCCCGGAGAACGGATAGCGCCGATTCTTTGCCCGACGTCACGCCATGAGACATGCTGCAGCGCATCGACCACCGCGACACGCGACTGTAAACAAAGCGAAGAGACGAGATGGAGCAAGAGACGCGCGAGAAGACAGAGAGAGATGAGAGCATGTGTGAAGTGTTGGTATCATGTGTCATTCGAGTCTTTGACTGCTAGACTCTTGCCATGTAAACTCCAGCCGTTCATTATGATACAGCACCCGTAAGCTGAGCGTGAAGTGCTCGCTGTCAAACCCAACCCAATCGCGCCATCCATCGCCGGCCGTCTCTGCGCCGCAGCTTCATGCTGATGGATATCTGAGTGTCGTAAAACCATGCAAATGTAGAAAACCAAAGACCAATCGCTTAACCACCGAAACCGTAAAGGGTGCGGCCTTGACGCTTGAGGGCGTAGACAACGTCGAGAGATGTGACAGTCTTGCGCTTGGCGTGCTCAGTGTATGTGACGGCATCGCGGATAACACCCTCGAGGAAGGTCTTGAGGACACCACGGGTCTCTTCGTAGATCACTGGAGAAGATGTCAGATGGTGCGAGGCGCGTGTCGCGTTGAAGTGAGAACTTACTGGCAGAAATACGCTTGACACCACCACGACGTGCGAGACGTCGGATAGCTGGCTTGGTGATACCTTGGATGTTGTCGCGCAAGATCTTTCGGTGGCGCTTGGCACCGCCCTTTCCGAGACCCTTGCCACCCTTGCCGCCTGAGAGCGAAGTCAGTAAAGGCGACGATGAGGTGTGGATGAGATGGGTGTGTACTCACGTCCAGTCATTTTGATGGAGGTTGTTGAGAAAGTGTTGTGTTGGAAGAAGTGTTATTGATGGTGAAGCTGATTGAAGTCGCTGGGTGTGTTGGTGTGGAGTGTAAGAGTCTGAGTTGGTGGGGGAAGCGCGGTACTTGTACGAGACGCGGCTGGCTGCGAATCACGCCGACGCGCGCAAGATCACAACAAAGCTGGCACGTGCTTTCCCCAAACATTGATCTTTGGCGAATCCGGCCAATCAGCGCACGCGTCGCAAACGACAGTTACGAGTGTCAGAAAGCAGCAGGTCTAAGTGTTGATTTCACAGGCAGCCGCTCTGACTCTTAATTCTCGCTTTCCTCTCCCACCTTTCTTCTCGACACACACCCAGCGACATCATCACCACAACACCTCCACACAACTCATCTTCATCAACCACATCAATCACACACAATGGCGCGTACCAAGCAGACAGCACGTAAGTCACCGCCTTCCACCTCGTTGTCGCTCATCATCGCTGCCGTCGCAATACCTTGTCGTCGCATCTCGTCACGTCGGCTTCTCGCCACCTGACATGCACACAACATTGCGACGCGTCCTTGATCACAACAACACATGGCCTCTCACCCGGACAACACTCTGACATACCATCACAGGCAAGTCCACTGGTGGCAAGGCCCCACGTAAGCAGCTCGCCTCCAAGGCCGCTCGCAAGTCCGCACCATCTACCGGTGGTGTCAAGAAGCCTCACCGCTACAAGCCAGGTAAGCATCGAGTCGCCTCGACTTCACATCCACAACACCATCTAACATTCATTCCCAGGTACCGTCGCTCTCCGTGAGATTCGTCGCTACCAGAAGTCGACCGAGCTCCTCATCCGCAAGCTGCCATTCCAGCGTCTTGTTCGTGAGATCGCTCAAGACTTCAAGTCCGATCTCCGCTTCCAGAGCTCTGCCATCGGCGCTCTTCAAGAGTCCGTCGAGGCCTACCTCGTCTCCCTCTTCGAGGACACCAACCTGTGCGCCATCCACGCCAAGCGTGTCACCATTCAGAGCAAGGACATCCAGCTCGCCCGCCGTCTCCGCGGTGAGCGTTCTTAGATGCTTCTCTCTTTCAACTTCTTGCGACACGACCTCATGAGTAGCCACTCCGACCTCCACCAACAGTCAAAGGTGTGATGGGCAGTGGTACTTCTACATTGATTATTGGCACAATGGCGTTTCGGGTACTCAGATGACTACGGGCTGAGATGGGGGTGTTTTTATCAGAGATATCACGGGCATCACGGCAGGCAAGATGGCCATCTGTATCATAATGACAATGATGCAAACAATTGCAACCCATTCAAACACTTCAATACTGTTCCATTTCCATCTTCTCCATGTCTCTCAATCTTGCTTGATCTCTCGCGCCGCTGCTCGCCTGTTCTGACTTCACATCCTCGTCGTTGCTCACCGGGCGCAATCTGCCTCAGAGACTCCCGTCGCCCGACGCGTTCTCCGCGAGGCACGCTTTTGACGCTCCTACAGTACATTCATATCAGGATCATTCTTCTGTACACATTCGCAGAACCACCAGCATGATCAAGATTCAGTTGTGCTCATGTACAGCCTCTGCGTACTGCAGAAATACCGCTGGTTGATGTATTCAGCCCTACGAGTTCGCAGCTGACGATCTACCGAAGACCTGGTAAGGTACCCGAAGCTCGGCTGGCTAGAACATAACGCCGACTTCGCCCAAGCACACCATAGTCCAACTAGTTTCTCAACTATGCATTACACCTTCCAGATCTGCTCATCCGGCTTCACGAAGCCTCCAATGCGCGTCGCAAAGCCAGAAACATGACATTCGCTTTCTTCGCTGGGCGGTCCACCTTGAGACGCCTTCACCAGACCGTC